GTAAAAAGGATTACTGAGAGAACCCAAGTATAGCCACTTGAAAGAGCTGCACAAGGTCATCAAGCTATGTGAACCTGCGTTGGTCTCTGCTGATCCAATCATTACATCGCTAGGCAATAAACAAGAAGTAAGTATGCAAACGAAAATGAAATGCAATGTGTATATATAGTATTGAAGATAATTAAGAAGCATAAAAGATTTATACTTTTATTTCAGGCTCATGTGTTCAAATCCAAGACCTCTTGTGCTGCCTTTCTTTCGAACTACGACACGAGTTATCCAACAAGAGTTATGTTTCGGGGATTTCCGTATGATTTGCCTCCTTGGTCTGTCAGTATTTTACCTGACTGCAAAACCGAGTATCACAACACTGCAAAGGTTGATAACTAAACTAAAGCTTATATCGAAAACATTGTTTTGTTTAGTAGTACTCTTTTATCATGTGCAACTGGTGCATTCAAATAGAGTCCGATTCAAAAACTATTTTTACTAAAGAAATTTTGAATATTGGGGTTCCTAATTTAGAAGAAAAAAAATCAACAGATATCAAATATTTGCATTTTCAAATAGTTTAGGGCGGCTCTGACTTTGTTGATCTCATAGAAATGGTATTTACTGTTATTGACATTGACCTATATATATGTGTTCTTGATACGCATGTGTAACGTGATACAGATCCGTGTACCAAGCATACCTATGAAGATGGTTCCTACTAGCACGCGATTTTCTTGGGAATCGTACCATGAAGAAATCCCTTCTTCATATGACGTTGATACGTTTGCTAAAGATGGTCNTGTGGAACAAATAAGCATGACCAGAGATAAAACAGATTACTTCTGGTATCTTGCCGAGTAAGTNATGTTTTGCCTTTTTTATTACTGGTGAAATCTCATTATCTTGCGTGATTATAGTTACNGATCATAGTTTGTGTTATGTTTTATATTGAATTTGCGATTATACGTACTCAGCATTACAATTAGTTCTGATGAGAGGTTCTTGAAGACTGGTGTTGATCCCCTTCTTACCATTTGTTCAGCTGGACATGCTCTTCATGTATTCGTTAATGGCCAGCTTGCAGGTTAAATGAGATAAATTTGA